ACGGCGCCCCCCAAAAATTGGCATTCTGAGAATTTTTGGCACTTTTTCAAACTGTGCTGTATTTTTGGGTAGATTTTTTTTATGACAACCATTCATTGTCAAAATAGTTTTGACACACCTTGATGTAAATAATAAACACACATAGAGCCGAAGGTCTTCTCATAGACGAACTGAAATAGCTGAAGGTCTTCTTCTCCTGTGTATTTACAAAGATATTGTTCAATTGTTGTCAATTCGAAAAAAATCATGATTATTGTACGGTCGCTAATCGTTTAGAATTTTGTACTATATATATTCCTGGGGCACTGAATACGTCGATATACTTTTTTGCGGAAGTCAATACTTCCAGTACTATGAGCATCTATAGTTCCATTGGAACCTTGTGTTTTCATGGTCTTCAACGTAAAGCAAGAATACTCATAATTTTGATGGGGTTGAGATCCAGATAACTTCAATATAAATTATTTTGGATCTCTACAACCGCCTCCAAACGAAAAAGGAAAATATATTGGCTCCAAGGGAACTTTGGATGCTAAAGCGCCCCATACACTATAAATCATGCCGATGAACCCCTCTTTGTATATGTAAGATTGACTAGTGTATGGCAAACTCTTCAATCACTATACCAAAAAATCACTAAATCGACTCAGAAAGTGATTCTATGCATATTCTCAAAAGGAACCATGGGTCTATCTCGATTATTTTTGCCTGTTACAAACATATGCACAAAGACATAATACCATGTACGAAAGGTGTATCGATGAAATCTGGGCCTTTTGCTCTACTTAATGTGAATTTCAAATCATTGGCCGGTCCTTAAACTTATAATAATAATAAATTCATTTTTCTAATCTGGAACAAACTTAAAAAAGTAAACAAACAAAAGTTCCGTTCCAGAACCTAAAAGTTTCTACTCATTTTACAAGTTGTTTAGCTCAGAGGGGCTCCGCCAATGGAAGTCGGTACGCCGAATGCGTCGAGCAATGGACCGTAGGGGAGGGGTGTACGTAGAGCAGTGTGCCGGAAAGTAAAAGAATTAAAAACACAAGAGGTTTCTTAATAATAGAATTCAATGGTTTATTTGGTTGTTTGGAGGTAAACGATATTACCTTTGGCAACGATATGCCTGTGCGCAACAATATGCGTGCTGTCCGAATGACAGATTGATACTCCTTGATGCTTGAAGGAGGCGGCAAAAACCAGTGACAATAGTTATTCGTTAAAACGTCAAAAGCGCTAACTCAAGGTTGCAATAAACCGTAGCGCATACATTTTAACGAATAATTGAAGACCACAACAGGAGTCAATAAAAATTATTATTTTTATACAAATCTAAATTAAACATTCCGGCCCCCTTGAAACATCAAGGTATGTTTCTAAACAATACAAGTAAATAAGTAATATGTACGACAGGAGTATAGTGCAGTGTGAGCAATTCGAGCAAAATGTAGGGAGTGGAATCGCAGATAAATCTGCAGTAACAGATTCGGGATCCAACTCCGCTTCAACGATAATTTGTAATGTGAGGCCGCAAATGTATCTGCAGTAACAGATTCGGACCTTAAGAAAGCAATATTCAAGACATAGTTCATATGAAGCCGCAGATAAACGTGCAGTAACAGATTCGGGCTTCAATCAAGTTAGTTTAAATCCACGAAACAAAATAGTATGAAGCCGCAAATGAATCTGCAGTTAAAGATTCGGACTTCAATCGAGCTATTATTTTCCCGAAACAATATTCGAGGGCTGGGCCAAATAGGACGCATCAGCACTTGTCGCGAGATTTTCCGAAAGTCGCTTTGCAACATTATTTTTCATTAAATTTTTATTAATAAATGTTAACAAGAGGTTTCTTAATAATAGAATTCAATGGTGCTGTCCGAATGACAGATTGATACTCCTTGATGCTTGAAGGAGGCGGCAAAAACAAGTGACAATAGTTATTCGTTAAAACGTCAAAAGCGCTAACTCAAGGTTGGAATAAACCGTAGCGCATACATTTTAACGAATAATTGAAGACCACAACAGGGGTCAAAAAAAGTATTATTTTTATACAAATCTAAATTAAACACATGTTTTGCAACTTTTTACTCGAAAACCGTTCCTCAACCCACAAAACTGGTAAAACATTGACTCAAATTTAAGAGAGTACAAAAAAAATGGATTTCTCCGTGTAACATTTTTACACGAGAAATTTGGTCGAGTAAAAATGGTACACAGGAATGCCTACTTCTGATTCGCTGTTATGTTTATTTTGAATTATTGCCATCTAATTTTGGCATATTTACTAGATTTGCGTTCCCGAACTTTTCAAATTATTTTGTACCCTGAGAGCAATTTTGAAATGTTTCCCTTTTACTAGATTTACTATTAAAAAAATACTGGAACAGACCAAAAATATTAACAATGATTGTACATATTTGACAGACTCAAGTACAAATATTGCATAGTTGTATTTGGATTTTTGAAATGAGACCTTTAATATTTTGCCATGCATGATACTCAGAAAATTCCGGTTCGAAACCACCAAAAATTCCAGGAAGGTCAACCAGCATGCGAAAGTCAGCTGTTTTTTCTCCAGTCTAATGTCAAAAATTGGATATTACTTACGTTTTCGTAATGGATGTCAATTCACAATAAAGGATTTTGACAGCAAAATTGAGAGGCAGCTGATGTCGAGCTATTCTCCCTAGATGACCTTATTAATAGGCCGTCGTGATGTATCAAAACAAAAACATTTGTTTTTTCCGCCATTTCAAATTTGTTATAGTAATATCACATGGTTGTCAACATTGCACATCGAATGGTTTCTATTCATGCTCCAATAAAAAGAGGCAGACTTACTTGGCGAAATTAACAAAAACTGTAGTCTAGTGTAATGTCTTATAGTATCATATTTACATATAAACATTCAACAGGTTGCTTTGTTTATTTGAAAATGTCGCCGAAAGATTTTTTCCTGAGTGCTGTAATGTTGAATTTGAAAAATATTTTAATTTAGTTTATATTTTTCAAGGCATTACAAACTCATTTACAAATTGAGTAATTGTTTTGACAAAACAGGGGCACACAAAAAAGTTTAATTAGCAGGTACCATTAACCTACCCCTCTGTTATTTTACCACGGAACGGAATCGGCCTAGCTACGGATTTTTAGTGCACCATTTACTTAAAATCGAATGATAATATATAGGAGGTATATGTAAATCTGAACCGATTTTCTCGAAACTTAGCACACATCCTTCTACTCTTAATTCAGTACGCTACGCAAGATTTCGTTCAAATCGAAAGAGATATAGGGTCTTTGTTAAACCATTTACATTAAATCGGACGAAAATATATATGGGAGCTATATCTAAATCTGATCCGATTTTTACGAAACTTAACACACATCATTCTAGACATAATTCAGTATGCTGTGCCAAATTTCGTGCAAATCAAAAGATATATAGGGACTTTGGTGCACAATATACATTAAATCGGACGAAAATATATATGGGAGCTATATCTAAATAAACAAATGCACAAAGGGTATAAAAATTGTGGTAAATCGTTGACTTAACGTGAAAAAGCAGTGAATCCACTTTTTCTAGACATTGAGATTTCGATACAGACATTCTCAATAAGTAAAAATACATCGATTTAATAAAAAAAAATACAATTATATCATTTGTTGATGTTATTTTGTAGTGATGAGTAGGGCGCTAAGTCGAATTTATTTAAGCCTCTCCTGTAGAATTTTAAAATATGGACTTATTGCCTTGACATGTTAAGTCAGCGATATGGGTTCATACTTAAAACTTAACTTAAAACTCCCTGCTTTACCCCTCGGTGGACAATGCCATACTTTCCCCACTAATAAATAGTTTTTACAAATTATAAAAACACAAAACTTTGATTACGCCTGACTATATTGCAAAACCAAAATACAAATGGTTTCCCAAATAACCTGCCAACACTACTGAAGTTAATTAATAACATTAACTGTCCTGCCTAGAGATTTCCTCATTGAAAAGTTCAACAAGGAAAGAGGAAAGTAAACAAATATAAAGAAACAGACTATGTAGAATAAGACTTTATATAAATATTGAAATAAAATTATTTATAAAATATAATTTATTTCAATATTTTCAAATATGCCATTCGTCGTACGTCGTATGGTTACGGTTTCAAATATAAATTTTATTTAAAAATGACAAAATCAAGTACAGAGTTACTGGCGTTGCCATGATCGATTCAGCAAATGAGGGTAGTCTCGAGACATCAGCTGCGCTAAATGGACTACCTATTCATTGTGCCATGAGAATACCTTTCATAATTATGCCATGGTTCTACCATGGCACAATAAATAGGTAGTCCATTTAGAGCAGCTGAGATCCAAGCATGACACAATAAATAGGTAGTCCATTTAGCGAAGCTGATGTCTCGATTAACGATCTCGATTAACTGTCAAAGTGTGTTATTTCTACTTGTATTCGATGTGCAATGTTGCCAACCATGTGAAATATTATATGGAAAAATTTGACAGATGGTCGAGACAAAAACAAATGTTTTTTGTTTCTACCGTGAAATATTATAAGGAAAAATTTGACAGATGGTCGAGATAAAAATTAAGGATATTGTTTTGATACATCACCTTATTATAGTATATTGGGTTTTTACTATGACGAAATAATAAGAAGATGTGTCAAAGCAAAAACAACTATTTTTTATTCGAACATCTGTCAAATTTTATATAGCATTTATCATGGCTGGCAACATTGCACATCATGGTAAAAACTCATTATCGAAAAATTATGATAAATATCGGATGTGCTATCGATTATTGGTCAACTCTATTGTTGGCTGCACTGAATTGAGTGGATTGTATTTGGCGGATATTTTGTTTTGATTTTGTACGAAAGGAATTGTTTTCATTCTCAGACTTTAACAGCCTCGTGAAGGTTCTAGTGTATCTATCTACCTGTTAATAATAAAAAATAAATTCCGTCGGTTATAAATATGAGTACAAAGACCTTGTGCACATCGGAAGTTAGCGAAGAAGCCGCTGAAGAAAAGTCTTCCAACTCGATGATCAACGGACTGCTGGATAATTCAGGAGAAATAATAAATACGTCGTATCGCTTGCAGTCGTCATACTGTTCCACTGTGTCCAATGATAGTGAATTGTCGTCGTTGTCGCTGTGTTTGGATAGAGAAATGGAAAGCTATGCAAATCCCATAGATATTGATGAGTTGCCGGCATTTGAAGTACGTTTGATATCGCCTCTTGGACGAACACCCTCGCCTATTGACAGCGAGGACATGGCGACGCCAACAAGACCTCCGCCAAAGGAAAGACTTACTGCCAGTCCCTGCCTTAACAATCCTGACTATGTGGCTCTACAGGACATAAATGCCCAAATAAGCCCTCCTAGTGATAACAGTGAACATCCGCAGGACGAAACGTGCCTTAGTCGAACAAGTAGTTTAGAGACAATATATGAAGGTGTATTTCTAAATACACCACCTCGTTCAAATGGCAACAGCCACTATCCACGCAATGCTCGATGCCGCACTAGTTTGCTGGAAAAGGTCGCCCTAAACCGTCTGCAAGCTGGAAAAGAAAATAAATCACCACTGTCAAAATCAGAATCGCCTTTGCGGTCTCGCAATTCCTTAGATTTTAGTCCCAACAGACAAGCCGAACATGGATTTTCCTAGACGTCGAATAAGATTATTTAGATATGACAATGTATTTCCCCTAACATTATTCATTTACTTATTCATACACTCTTGATTTTGTGTATAAATAAGTAGCCTATCTGTCAATGTGTTTATTTCGTAGAAAATGCCTGCCATACAAAAGGATTCGATAAATCAAATCTGTCTATTTACGCAGTCATGTGTATTTCCTCTTTATTATAAACCTTGTATCCATTTCTCTGTATATGATAAATAAAAAAAGTATAGTCATGTTTCAAAAACATAAAAAGAAATGTCTTTCATTACTCATCGTATGGTGAACGGTTTGAAATCTTTACTTTATGATTGGGTGGCAATAACAACAACTTATAATACGTAATGTTTGAATGCAATGCCCAAATATTGTTTTACACAATGTTAATCGGACAATGAGGTGTAAAAGAAAGGGAAAATATAAAAATCATTGCCTAAAATGTTCAAAGTGTATAATAATGAAAATAAATACAACACAGAAAAATACCATGAACTATAACTCTATACAGTATAATGAATTGATATAAGAAACAACTGAAAGTAACCTGTATTAAGGTAATGTTTTCTGGACCTTACATTTGTCTAGTTGTTATTTTAAATATATTTGTTCTTTAAAAGCATCGTTTTTTCTCAACGATTATTAGATATTGATTTATGAAGACAGTGACCCGAAACCTAATTTTACCAAGATCTTTTTTTAGGAAGACTTAATGTGGATATTTGAATAGAGGACTTCACTATATTTTAAAATGTTTGTGAAATTTTGCACCAATTTGATCACAAAATGCAATTATTAAATATTGAAATAAAATTGTTGCATGTATATATTTTGTTGGTAAAAAATGCTTACATAAATAATAACTATCTATTTATACACAGTTATTGTACAATTAAATAGTAAATTTTAAAAACAATATATGGTGAAACGGTAGATTTTACTACTACAGAGCAGGTAAATTGCATGTAGTATTTTTGTATTCCGAAGGGCTAACAATGGACAAATGTTTTTAAAACGTTATTAGTCTATCCCTTCAAATATTTTCTAGAATTTTGTACATCATTGTTTTTACGGCCGCTGGTGTAATATGTTCGTTTAAAGCGAATATACAGGCATAAAATACAGGTAATATATACACCATAGTTTATAGAGGTAGTTGGTAATTAAGTACCAATCGATGTATATACCTGCCTTGGTCAGAAATTCTGCGAATGGCGTGAACTGGAAAATACTTTTACTTTCAACAAACCGGGATTAACTTCGCTCCATCTGTTAAGAAATGAGATTATTCATGGGATCGTTAAAATGTTTTATCTCTATTTCACTTCCACTTACTTAAGACATCGTTCCTCAAGTCGTCCCTTCACTTTGCTCTTGATGACCGAAACACCACCAGCACTGTGCTTTCCGCGACCAGTAATTATAAATACGTATTTATAGTTTCTGGAAGCCGAACGCAATGATGTAATGTGACGATCTAGGAACAGATCTAAGCATGCCATCGCTTCCATGAGATGAAAATAGTGGAGATCTAAATGATCGGGATTGTTTTGGGTATATTTATGGACGCTCATTATACAGTTTGCAGCACGATGGTTGTACATATCAATTTTCTGTTTATGCAAGTTTGCTATCTGCGAATAGTAAAGTCCAGCGCCGCCATTACCAGCTTGGATGGCTTCTTTTGCTTTTTGGTAACATTCGGCACGCAATTGACAGTGATGAGCAGCAAGGTTTCGAGCTTCTTCAAATTCCATGAGCGCAAGACGTTTCGCCGCTTCGGGCGAGAACGAAGAATCTCGAATAGTATTATCGTTGTCATCCCAATCGTTGACGTTTGACTGACTTTGTTTTTGTTGAATGTTTGTATTTTGCTGTGAAATTTTGGAAAACCCGTTTTAATGTTCGTAAATAATAAATAATAATTTGTAATAACTTACGTTGCGCTCCAATTGAGTGTCCGCGACCTCAGGATCGTTCATGGTACTTTGTAGTATAGATACAGTTTCTTTGTAATTGTTATCCGTTGACGAAAGAATATCAAGCAGTGTCTCACGTGGAATGTCTGGAAACGTTTCACATAGTTTCATTTGTGTCAGATGTGCGGCCAAGTCAGTGGGTTGCGATAACTTTTCCATTTCACTCCTTTGTAAATCAAATTCCTCTTTATCCCTTTTGTACAGATTCCATGCATACTCAATATCTAACATTTCACGTATGTTGCTTGGGGATTGTTTGTACTCTGAATATTTAGGGTGTTTAAGCAATCGAGCGAAATCCTCATCTTCGCGTACCATTTGCTGGCGTTCCTCTTCCAAATGATTATACGCGGATTCCATCCACAACATGTACAATTGTTTTGCCAACGAACGCGGCATAAACACTTTTAAATTAAGTGGCAGTGTTGAGGGTATTTGTTCCTCGAAGGAAGATTCATTGCGAAAGTTGTCGAGTAACTGCTGAACTAAATGTTCACCAAGGGACATTTCCAACATGGCTTCATCTTCGTTATTATCATTCCCAATATCGTCGTCGTCGTCATTTTCACCGTTGGGAGAATCTACTTGATTGTCGCCATTATCTATGCTATCTTGGGTTGTCACGATGGAAGAAGTTGCATCCCCAGATGTGATACCATTTCGAGAATTCCGAATTTTCAAAATATGTTTAGAATAGTGATCATCTCCTAGTACAAAACAGTTTTCTATATTTTCCTTTACTTCTAAAAGGCTGGGATCGGATATCTGTTTCGGTCGTGCGAACCTGGGACGTTGTGGCTTCTGAGAAAACTTTGAATCTTTGTCATCAGTATTTTGCACTTTTGCATCGATTTGTGATGTTATGTACTCTCTATCGGGTTTTAGAACTTGCGTTTCATCTTTGGGTAGTCTGCATGAACACACAAAGTCGTCAAATTCATTGTTGTAAACCTGTAATTCAGTGTCGCCTCGTAATTTGGCCAATTCATCTTCTTTTAACAATATATCCACCGCCCAATCTATATCACCGTTACATTTCACAAAGAGATCCCACAATCCGCACACTTCTTTATTAGGATATATTTGTCTCAAGGTGACAAATGAGACATTTTCATTGGGGCAATCAACGCTGTGACGATTAAAGGTAGTTGAGGATGCCATGTTCTGTTCTACTTCCTCATTTTCTTTAATGTTTGTTTCCACTACTTCCTTATCTGCATCCTGGTCCCGCAAAAGGTCTATTAATGACCTTCCTCCATTCGTACTTTCGTTTGTTTTATTTTTCTCTATTGAGGACTTTAATTTGGCAGCATGCGGATCGATGCCCCAAAAGTCAACCGACTCGGCTTCGTAAGGCTTCCAAACATTAGATAATTTTTGCTCCAACAAACTATATACATCTCTGTCAGAAGAAGACTTTTTCGGTGATTCGGACGAAGACGACTGTGGTGATTGCGTTTTATGTTCCGCTTGGATATTCTTTTGTTGTTTCGGAGGAGATAGACTTGTCTTGAATTTCTTTCGCTGGCCCTTTGGTGCATTTGTGTCATATGAAGTCCAGGTTGATGTCCCTGATTCTTTGGGCGGTGACAGTTCTGTTCTAACAGATTCTTCTCCAACATTACTTTTGTCCTTTTCTTTGGTATTTGATAGGACCACGTTATCTATCGGTGGGAGAAGGCGATATTGTGGCAAACTGACTTTGTACTTAGTTGTTTTGAGCATCTAAAATAAGAAAAAAAGCATATTAGAATAAATTAAGTAGGAATTTTCAGATTATCGATAAGAATTTCAATACATTGGATTATATCATTATATTGTTATTATATTCATATTATTATGTTATATACTACATATAAAAAATGTTTATAAAACAATTTGGGAGACTATGATTTTGGCATATTTAATAACATTAATATCAAAATTTTGATAAAATAGTAGTAACGCGATTTAGACTTTTGAATCATTGTAAAATATTTGTAATTATAGTTTCATTAATTCGACAGCAAGTCTTATAATTTTAATTTGTCCATAAATAAAATCAACATATCCTATGAATATGTTATATTGAACATATGAGACTGTTACCGACTATAGGCAAAAAACTATTTTAAACAGTGTTTCAAAGAGTATTTCCAAATATATTAAATAGATCAAATAGAACATAGAACGGAAGTTTTTGCTTTCTCCAATTCAATTAACTGTAATTTTACACTTCTTGCTAGCAGGTGAATTTAAATTGTTCATGCCAAGATGTATATAACCTATTTTTAAATATTGTTAAATTTTACTATGAATACACACGTTTTAATACAAGCACGATAATTTCAATACATTGTTGTAATTACAATACATAACATACCTTCAATAACTCCGGTACGTTTGTTTTCTCATATTTATCCATCATTTGTCGAATTTTATCTGCCGGTACTCCGTGCATGTTACGTTGAGACAACTTATATGCACATTTGCCCCATGAGGGTTTCGGTTCAACGATTTCAATTAAATATCCGTTTTCTACCGCACACTTGACGTACGGTAACATCTCCCAAGCTTTCATATTTGTATTGTCCACAATAATTGGGCTAAGTCCACTAATGGCTTTTTCACGGACTCGAGATTGATTAAATTCATGGGCCTCAGACAGGAAATTTACATTGTACTTGTAGACCCCTTTAGAATTGCAAAAGTAGTCATCGGTGCTAAAAATAAAGTCCCCAACATAACAAAATGGTGGTTGTAAATCGACATAGTTCTTTACTAAAGCTCGAGCGGAATGTGTTTTTCCTACTCCAGGAAGTCCACGCATTAGTACCATGACGCGGTATCCGTTCTTAATCAAATTACCAACTTTCTGTTCCTGAGCGGACAATGGTTCGATTTCTTTGCGAGATGGCTTTGGAGCAACTTCATTTGGGTTGAAAACGCTTTCCCCTTTGGCCTCGTCGGTAGTAGTTGAATGGAGATTACCCTCCGTGTTGGTCATTTGGTTCAAGCACAATTCCACTGTAATAACAAATAACACAAAACACCTTAAGTGACATTCAGAACAGCTAAATTATGTATTTAGACGTTACGTACAATTCCAATCATTTGCAACACAAACTTTCCGCAATTTCCAAAGTGGTGTCGTATAGAACAATTCCTTTAAATGTTGCAGCACTTGTTTCTGTTCTGGACTATCTTCAGTTTTGGCAAACATTCTAGTAGTTTATTTTTGTGTTTTTCTTTGTTTTTGCAAATAGTAATGTAAATAAGTTGTTGTTACGACGTAGTAGACGACTGTTTTCTGATTCGTGGCGGTAACTTAATAGAAAAGAAGGCGCAAAGATTAGTATCTGTTCGGATGTTGGAGCTAAAATATTGCCATAATTCCAAAAACATTTAATTCACTTTTAAGATAAGTAGTTTAATGTCAAAGTGATTATAAAACGTAGTGAAACAGATAACTAAGCAGCCAATCAGACAATGTCGTTGTTTTCCTTTTTTTGGGATTTGATAGTGATGTCGATTATCATCGATGTTGATCGGTTAACCATATGCAAGATTAACCATGCAAGAACCATTTAACAGGTCAATCAGAAAATAATCGATATTAAAGGGCTAAAGGGCTAAACAGAATGTTCGCGTTGAGCGTTTTTTGTTATCGCGTTAACGCACGCAAAAAGTTAAAATATATTTAACTCCGAAGCGCAGCGCACATCAACTTCGAGCGTTTGTGTTATCGTTTCCTTGTTGTTTTTGTATTTTCGATAACATATAACGCGACGAATGGCTCAACGCGAGCATTCTGCTTAGCCGATTTAGGGGATGAAATGGACCAAAAACTGGTCGCTCTAGACGCCGCTATTAAGGGCTAAGTAGAATGCTCGCGTTGAGCGTTTTTTTGTTATCGCGTTAACGCACGCAAAAAGTTAAAATATATTTAACTCCGAAGCGCAGCGCACATCAACTTCGTTTCCTTGTGGTTGTTGTATTTTCGATAACATATAATGCGACGGATGGCTCAACGCAAGTATTCTGCTTAGACCTTTACACTTAAATATTTACAGGTGCATACGTATTCAGATATTATTTTCCAGGTATGATCAAGGACAACGCCTTTAATTTTCGGTGACGATCAGATAATAATTTTGGGATGAGGTTGACCGAAAACTTAATTTTTTCCAATTTTTTTTTTTTACAGTCGATCTATAGATCACAATTGAAAGCCGAACATCACAACACAACCCACGGTGAAGGGAATCTGGACAAGTAATTAGAAGGCTGTTCTGAGTATTAGTAACATTTGTTGACCTCTGGTCGGTCAAGAGGGTGCAAATATCGTGAAATATTGCCCAAACTCAGAATATAGTACTGCAGAATGTTATATTGGAAGTTGTGTAGGGTATCATATGGTCGGCCCCGTCCGACTATACTGCTGCGCTTACTGGTTATACTTTTCGACTTTTGTCTTTGATTGATCGGTTTTTCGATTTTGTCAAACCTGATCAAAATTGATTTTTGAATTTTACCTACTATTGCAAAATCATCTAAAAAAATGATTTTTTTATAAATTTTTGTAAATAGATAAAATCAAGTTCTGGGATGTGTAATTTTAATACAATTTAAGCTTCATGATAATAAAACAAGTATTTATGAAGAAAATCGAAAGTCGATCGTGAGAAGTCGACTTTCCGATTTTCTCAAAAATTATTATGAAAAAAATCTTTCAATCTGACGTCCTTATTGTTTTTTTTTTTCATCGCATATATTGGTTCCTAGATCAATATTAATGGACCATAAAGTTTTTGAAGTCTGAAAATGTGGTTTCCCAATATATTGTTTGACAACACACAACAGTGGGAATGTGACAACACACAACAGTGGGAAAGATGTGGTATTGTTTGTAAATGCCTTGTTAACCTCGAACTGAGGCTCCAGCGAAATTCTCATGCAGTTTATGTCGTTGGTCAGCTAAGAACTTCGCTTTGTTACAAGAGACATTTGGGTATGAAAGGTTTTTTGTATAGAGGCAATAGCTTCTGGGGAGAATATCCCAACAAAAAACTAAGGGAACTGATGAGGATCAGTGGCGTGATCCGAAACTATTGTCTTCCCTGCCTTACCCCTCGGCAAACAATGCCATACATTCCCCACTAATAAATAGTTGGTTTTTTTTTTTATAAAAACAACAAACTGGGATTCAGCCTGACTATTTTGCAAAAACAAAATACAAATGGTATCCCAAATAAACCGCCAACACTACTGTTTTTTTTTAATAATTTGTTTGTCGGATTTTGGTTTTAATAGTTTTTAACACTAGATTGCCGAAGGCGGTCATTTTGACCGCTTTTCAATTTCAAGTACGAAAACAACTGTGCATATAAGTACACTTTTTTTAAAAAATTTTGTGACTTTTTGTACAACATAGAATTACGTTTATTATAAAAAAGACACCAAATTTAAAAAAAAGTGTCATTATATGCCTTCGACAATCTAGTGTTAAGGGCTAAGCAGAATGCTCGCGTTGAGCGTGTTTTGTTATCGCGTTAACGCACACAAAAAGCTTAGCTTAACACACATCAACTTAGCCCTTAAAGGGCTAAGCAGAATGCTCGCGCACAAACGCTCGAAGTTGTTGTGCGCTGCGCTTCGGAGATAATAGATTTTAACTTTTTGCATGCGTTAACGCGATAACAAAAAACGCTCAACGCGAACATTCTGTTTAGCTCTTTAAAGTCCTGTCCTCGCGTTATATTTTGTAAAACCTACTTTTTATTATTCTAAACATATTTGGGATGTTTTAAAGCCGCGATAACTATATTTAATACTCTCATTTTGAGATTAGGACGAGAAATTAACAAATATAGCATTTCCACATTAAATGAAACCTTTTACAAATTAAATGAACCCTTTTCCAAATTAAATGAAACCTTTTCCAAATTAAATGAAACCTTTTCCAAATTAAATGAAACCTTTTCCAAATTAAATGAAACCTTTTCCACTTGAAATGAAACCTTTTACAAATAGAATGAAACCTTTTCCAATTGAAATGAAACCTTTAACAAATAGAATGAAACTTTTTCCAAATTAAATGAAACCTTTATTCTTATCTAAGGAAATATAATATTTGCAGTAATTTTAAACCAATATTTGTAAATTAAATCAAAGAATATTAACACATATAGTTGTATGGCTATGTAATTAACATAAATATTCTTTAATTCGGTGTGATTTCATTTAATATCTTTACTACATAAAACTAAATAAATAGTAATACAAACTGGGGCATTTCTTGACATTTTAATAAATAAATATTTAAGAACAGGAATTGAATACCCGGTCCTAAATGCGAAATACATATTTGACTTAATAAATTGTTGATGATAAGGTAACTGCTTATCTTAATGAAGGGGTTCCCGACTTGCAGCTTGTGGGATTTTCAAAACCATGTCCATAACGTAGTTAGAACAATCTTGCCGAGTAAGCTTTTGAATACTTCGCTCGATTACATCAACAATGTTATGTTCCATTGAAACGTCACACAGCTCAGCTCTTGGACATAATTTTATTTTTGAAAATTCATTTTCGATTGGATTTAGCATTGGAGAATAAGGCGGTAAGAATTTAAGGTTGCATCTTTTGGATTCGATCAAATTTTTTATGTCATGTCGCTTGTGTATTTAAGCGTTATTTTCCAACTCTGGATTGATTTTCTCAAAAAAAATCTATAAATAATTTAAATCTGTCTCCATTGACACTGGGATTAGAAACGATTGTGTGATGTACAACTCCCGCGTTGTTTATTGCTGCAATTATAGTGACATTACGACCTCTGACCGTAGGCAACAAAATGTGTGCTCTTGTTCCTTGTCTTGAACGGGCTTGGGTTCTTCGTATGTGAAGATTAAATCCACACTCATCAATGAATATAAATTTTTCTCCTTGTTGGGGTATCCATTTTGTAAAGTCTTGAGCATATTTTTGTCTCAAGCCTAATGTTCTGGAGTCATTCTTTCGTTCTATTTCAATAGAGGCCATCTTAAACGTAAAAAATTTTGGAACATTGAAGGAAAATAAGCGTGGAGGAAATAGAATTAAGTTGTTGACACCACAAGTTTTAAGTCTGATCGAGTTCTATATAGAAAGTCAACCTGGAATTACCCTCAAAGCCATAAAAACTAAACTGTTGAGAGAAAATGATATAAATATTTCCACAAGCTGCATAGAATATGGATTACGGAAATTAAAAATTACGTTTAAGATGGCCTCTATTGAAATAGAACGAAAGAATGACTCCAGAACATTAGGCTTGAGACAAAAATATGCTCAAGACTTTACAAAATGGATACCCCCAACAAGGAGAAAAATTTATATTCATGGATTAGTGTGGGTTTAATCTTCACATACGAAGAACCCAAGCCCGTTCAAGACAAGGAACAAGAGCACACATTTTGTTGCCTACGGTCAGAGGTCGTAATGTCACTATAATTGCAGCAATAAACAACGTGGGAGTTGTACATCACACAATCGTTTCTAATCCCAGTGTCAATGCAGACAGATTTAAATTATTTATAGATTTTTTTTTTGAGAAAATCAATCCAGAGTTGGAAAATAACGCTTAAATACACAAGCGACATGACATAAAAAATTTGATCGAATCCAAAAGATGCAACCTTAAATTCTTACCGCCTTATTCTCCAATGCTAAATCCAATCGAAAATGAATTTTCAAAAATAAAATTATGTCCAAGAGCTGAGCTGTGTGACGTTTCAATGAACATAACATTGTTGATGTAATCGAGCGAAGTATTCAAAAGCTTACTCGGCAAGATTGTTCTAACTACGTTATGGACATGGTTTTGAAAATCCCACAAGCTGCAAGTCGGGAACCCCTTCATTAAGATAAGCAGTTACCTTATCATCAACAATTTATTAAGTCAAATATGTATTTCGCATTTAGGACCGGGTATTCAATTCTTGTTCTTAAATATTTATTTATTAAAATGTCAAGAAATGCCCCAGTTTGTATTACTATTTATTTAGTTTTATGTAGTAAAGATATTAAATGAAATCACACCGAATTAAAGAATATTTATGTTAATTACATAGCCATACAACTATATGTGTTAATATTCTTTGATTTAATTTACAAATATTGGTTTAAAATTACTGCAAATATTATATTTCCTTAGATAAGAATAAAGGTTTCATTTAATTT